GAAATCTTCAGACAAATCCACATATTTTGTGATCTGGTACCTAGAAGCTCTGTACCCTAATGCTAGTATCCCACTCTTGTTCTGGATTGTGGAGAGAGGCTGTTTTTAAAGTTTTTTGTGCGATTTGCTTCTTTGCTGCTTCGAAAGTTACCTACAAGCAATTCCTTACACAGAAAAAACAGGTTTCTTATCCAAAGTGTATCTAATAAATAGGGGTTTGTCTTGAAAAAATGCAGATCATTCTTCCATGTTTGTAGTACCTCAGAAACTGCATCTTAAATATATATATATATTGGAAAGATGTGTGCATATTACAGATTAAATTAATCAAATTGTAATATTTCATACTTGATAATTCAAAATGCAAAAAATGGTGCGATTCAAAGTGGAAGCAGTTCAACTTCATTGAGTGGCAGCTGACAATCATGTGATTCAAAGCCGACAAAGCAGTTTAACTTCACTTACTGGCAGCTGGCCAGCCCCCATCTGATCATTGAGCCCTTTGCGACTCTGCAGTCTGCAGTCTCAAGTTTGTTGGTGGCTTGCCCCCTGCTTTTGGAAATCCCCCGGCAGCTGAACCATGGGATCTTGCATGTCTTGCTGGTCCTGGTGTGCAAAGGAGCAGCCGCTTCCTGACAGGTTGTGGGTTGCCCGCGACGGCGTTTCTTATCATATCAGAAATGACTGCCAACACATTGTGAGAAACCCGGCTGATGAAATTTGGACCAGGACCAGGCAAGGAAGTGACAACGTGACTGCGTGGCATTTGGACTGTGCCGCCCAATCCAGAAGGCTCACTTCTGGGATGGGGCAAGCCACCAGATCCGTTACCCTTATGCTTCGCTGCATCGCCCTTGGGACGGCGACCCTGGCTTCCCTTGCCAGCACCTGGTTTCCCCATGGTCGGAGCAGCTAAGCGGCTAAGTTGAAGTTGAAGAAGTGATGATCTGTGACTGCTTATTTTCATTTAAGTGCAGGTAAAGAAATTTTTGCTGGAAACTTGTAGTTGCTGGTGCTGTCGTTTCATCTTCCTGTCTGTGTGTCATTGTTACTACACCCCGCAGTCAAACCCGAGGTCCGGTTTGAGCCGCACCGCGTAGCCAGTTCCAGGTCTGAAGGCCCAACTTGTAACCCAAATCTTAGCAACTCTCGTATATGCACCAGTGACTCAGACAGTGGTTGGTGGCTAGTTACTTGCACTTACTATGGCGTTTCAGACAGTCCGCGGCTGCAATTTTTCTTTCCGCGGATGGAAATTTCTTTGAAACAGCTAATTACAAGCGGGATTGTGGAGAGAAGCTGAAAGAGAATGTCCAAAAAAAACTATTGTTTTTTAATGTAAATGCAAAAATATCAAACCGGGGCAAGCCACCAGGCCCATGACCTATAGCGCTACTGGGGAGCAGCGTCATGGAAACAAATTAATGATTAGGAGGGGCAAGCCACCATCCCATTCTCAATCCTGAATTATACGCACCAAATTAATGAAGAAATTATGTGGTGATTTGACAGAAACCTTACGAAATTGCTGTGTTATGAATTGATTACTGTTATAAATGCTCGAATCAGCGACCACATAAACCATGCTTAGCAAATTCAATGTTACATAAAAAATCAGCTGCGTTTGTTCTGGTCAAGAACTTGCAGCATAGACCAGTTGTGGGCTGGCCGGTAACACCAAGGACTGACAGAATTTGTTTGCTTTCTTTCTGGGTGACAAAAGCGACAAGCTCGGCAGACGGTCTGTGGCGAAGTTGCGCTTTCTGCAAGCATTGAAGAAACAAAGGCATGTCTTTCAAGAGTTTCCACATATTGCACAACTGCTGCATGCGGCCAGTGATAGCTGCACACAAGTGAGGGTTTTCTTCTTGAAAACCGCTGCTGATGTAAACAGTCCTGCGGATGCTGACCGCACAGCAATACTTCACAGCTGGTCCCTCGCCATGACTAAACGCTTGAGGGCTGAGGAACAAACCTCCGGAAAGGAATGCGTGCCACAAAGTTTCTTCAGCAGGATCTGTGACATCTGGAACAACAAACGCGTCCGCACGCAGAAGGGAAGATCCGTATTTTGCACCCAACTTGTCCATGTGCTGGTCCAGCACAAGGCTTGGAGCGGCTTGGATTGTTGAAATAAAAGCTTTCTTGCCACTGCACAAAGAAAAAATTGATGCCGCAGCTTTCTCTTTTTTCTTTGTGTCTCGGATGTTTTGGGCCAAGTAGCTTCTCACTTTCTGACTTCTCGCAGCTTTGAAGTCCTCCACGGCTTGCTCATGGTCTGGACCTATTTCATTGAGTTTTTCTTCTGTTGTAAGCCCATTGTGAGCAGCTGCTTCCAAAGCACGTTCTTTACGTCTTTTTTTTTTGTAACTGCGTTTCTTTCTCATGTTCTTGTGTCCAATGCTCGTTTTCGTGGACCAAAAATCCTGGTGTCGGGTCATCTCCGCATTTTTTCCACTTCCTGCGCCACTGCAGCAGCACGTTGCCTCCGAAAAGCCTTAGTAAGCAAAATCTTTGTTCAAAATGATCTAAATTTTGAGTGTTGAGCACATGAAACTAGTTTTGAGACAAGGCGCTTGCCATGTGCCTTCTCTGGCCCTTTTCTTCCACCCACGCTGCGCTGCTACAGATCTTAAGACTGAGTCTTTGGAACTTGCGGCTTTCACTGTCCCAAAAAGTTGAGACCAAATCACCGCAGCAGCCTTTGCCAACTCCTGGTCTTGAGTTTCGGTCCAATTTTGTGTGGTCAAGAGGAAAATTGCATCCCTCAGGTTCACTTCGGTCATGTTTCCTTTGCTTTTTGTCAATGTTCGGACACCTGCAAAGTCTTGCTCCACACCCGAACTGGAGCAGCCCCAGCCAATAGCTCTACTCAGAGCCTGCCTGTGTTCCTCTTGGGGGTGGTGTATCCAAAGCTGCTTTCCAGGCCATCACTGGTTCCATGTCTGCAGCGGATTCAAACTTGTGCTGAGCTACAGGGTGGTAGTCTGCAAACTGGCTTGACAACGCGCACTCATCCAAGGACAAAACGTTTGACACTTTGTGGATCTTATCGCTAACATCTCGTGCTTCAGTCCTGTGGTCGTCTCTTCTGTGCACTTTGTCATTCAACGATTCCAAATGGAAAATGGACATAGGCTGCAAAATCTCAAACGCTGGAAACTCCGTTGCGACCACTTCCTGCGCTAGCTGCACCCAGGAAGCAAAGCGTTTCAAGCATCGGTAAACGACCGTCGCCATCTGCGGCTGGGGCAAGCCACCGAGCCGTTTGGCCACTTTGTCAATGTATATCGTCCGTGGCTTCTGCAATTGGTCCAAAAGGTGGGCTGTGTAGCCAGTCTTCACGACTGCTCCTTTCAGAAACAGCACCTCCAACTTCATGACAAACTGCTGCACTGCAATGGCAAGGCTTCCTGACGTGGTTCTCTCAGAATCCAAGCATGGTCAACTGCAGATTTTCCTCTCCAGCATCAGCAAGCATCCCAATGAGCAAAACTGTTTCCTCAGACAGAAGGTCTAAGAATGTCCGAGCTGCGTGGCCAACCTTTTCATTTTTCCTCTCTTCATGGGCAGACTGGGCTGTTCGGATCACAGCATCTAACGTGAGGCAAACTTTAGCAAAGGGCATGCTCCACGAATCGAATCGGTGCTTCGCGGCAGAAAATTTGTCCGAAGTCTCATTCCACAAGGGGGTGAACTGCATGGCTCGAACGTTCTGGGCATACATGGACCGCAACACATCGGAGAAATGAATCTGTTGCACAATGCCATCGGTGTCCATGAAGACTTTCTTCACAATTTGGTCGAGGACACGGTCGCATTTCCATGTCCGGCTGACAATCCTACGGGCGGCATGGGGCTTGTCTTTGTTGATGACCTTCAAGTTTGGGAACACTTGTGAGAATGTAGCCATGTTCACATCCATAGCTTCAAGCAAGGCAGGACAAGTTCCGGGGCACGCCTCCAGGAATCTATTATTACCAGATTCAAGGATCTGGCCAGCCAATTGCTCATCTGCAGCTGCGTCTGCGTTGAAGACCTCTGTGATCTCAAAGGGATGGGCCAACAAAGCTTTGTCCGTGGAGGTGACATCTTCATTCAGTGCCTGGCTCGTTTCAAAGGATTCGCTGTGCTTGAATGGTGAGCACAAATCCGCCAACATCAGCAAGACACATTTGGCAATGCCGTGGGAGTCAAACTCTTCAAGCTTTTGGCACCCCACCAAAGCATGAACTGGCCGCAGCTGTGGGCCACAACCTTGCACACGCAAAAGTAGTCTCCCTTTGGAAGCATCCGAGTGCAAAGTCAAACAATTGCAACTCCTCAAGTCCCTGCGAGTTTGAAACCTTAAAGCTTCAGCCAAGCAATACTTAGCTTTGAGCAACTTGTCACGTTTCAAAGTTCCGGTGCCTTCAGCCCCTTCTGCTTTACCCTGGCGGACTAAGCGCAGAGCTTCCACGAAAGCAGCAACTGGAGGGGCAACAAGGGCCAAGCGAACGTCAGGATCAGAAACTGCTATCCTGTGGCTCTTAGCTCGCTCATGTTTATCGAAGTGCGCCTTCTGCAACAAGGACACTGTTCGAAACTCAGCGTGGAACTTGCCATGAAGCTTGCATGCTTTACAGTACACACTGTTCACTTCTCCTGCTCGGTTCCTTGTGCAGTGTAGTCAAGGGTACTGTGCCACCCATCTGCGCCCAAGTCTTTTCCATTTCTTGCCAAAGTCTGTGACAGGCTCGATCTGCTCTGGCACGAAGTCCTGGCAAATTCACGAAAAAGCAGCATTTGAGACCCATGTTGGCACTGTCCAGAGCTAAGGCCGTGATTTGCAAAAACTCCATTCCTCGAACGGAGTTCCTGTCGAGAGGACCTCTGGATCCGGGAAGTCTTCTCAACAGTTGGGGGCGCCCCGGACTGTCCAGAGGAAACTTTTCCATCATTTTTCTTGACTTTTGAAATTTTCAAAAGTCAAGAAAAATGAGTGAAAAGTTTCCTCTGGACAGTCCGGGGCGCCCCCAACTGTCCACAAGACCTCCTGGATCCAGAAGTGCTCTGGACACAGCAGGTCTGCGATTTGTTATTTGGAGTTTTTTTTTTCGCGCCCTTTTTACTGTTACACTGTGTTTTGAGGACCTTCTGGGAGGGTCTCTGGACAGTCGGGGGTGCCCCCAACTGTCCAGAGCCGGCTCTGGACAGTTTGGGGCGCCCCCGACTGTCCAGAGGGGCTGGTCCCTGGAATTGGCAAAATATTTGTTGAAAAAACAATTGATCTGAGCCTCCTCTGTACATTCGATGGGTCGCCCGGCTGTCGAGAGAATCTATTTCTGTCTAACTTTGAGTTTTCCAATTATAACCTGCAAAATCTATCTGGCTATTTAACACTCGGTCCTGCAAGCATTGTTCAACATCCATGTGCTTTGGCAGTAAATCCTCCATGAGTTGGGCCTTGTGTCCCTGCAGGCGGTGCAAGCCACCGGCCACCAGTCCAAACAACTGATGTCTACTTGTTTGAAGCAACCAAGCAGCGGCATGGGCACGCATGCATTGTCATAGTACCCCCCAAAGAAAAAAAAATCTCCGACTACCTACTGTCAGTTCTAAGACCTTGCTTGAGCGTGTGCTCAGCTAAATCTCGCGACGCAGAGGCACTATACTTTTCCGAAGGTTCCACAAGGTGGCAATGCACCGCTCTGCAATCACGAATTGATGATGGTAGCACTAGTTTGCACCACTGAATTATGAATTACGGAGGGCAAGTTCCATGATGCAAGCCACCAATGTAACAGCTCACGAAAAAGGCGGCTAGAACTGCCAGCAGAGCCTAATTTCACAATTGGCATGGGGCAAGGCACCAAAAACAAAATCAAAGCCAAATTTGAGGAATGGGGCAAGCCACCTAAACCAAATTCAGATGTTGCAAACTTCTCTGTCTATGAGTCTGTGTGGCCATCTCTCCTCACGCAGCGGCGCTTCATTCCACTGAAGCGGCTGTAGTCGACAAAGTCATGCTTCATGCTCGGCATTGCCCATGGGTCAAAATGTTCGGGGGGCACCTTGCCGACCATTTTCAGCAAAATCAACGCAACCCTGCCAATCACACTGACAGTGAAAACGTTGCCAAGCATGCCTGCATACTTCTTCTTGCTGACTCCGGTAGGGATCCGTAAATGTCGTCCTGGAAACCCCTGAAGTTCTTCAATTTCATTCAAAGTCATGTACCGCTGCGTGGGTAGCAACATGTGACCTCCAGACTTGCACCGACTGTGCGTCAACGTCGGTGACTTTTCAGGCAGGGCTGTCGCGCCACGCTTCAAGCTGCACCCCACATCGGCGCACCACACAGCATCCTGTGACGCCTTCAATCCAAACATGTAAGTGGTTACTGTGGCTATTTTTACTCACTCAGTACCTACAAATGCAGAATCGCAATTCTTTCAATGTTCTAACAAGGAAAGAACCAGAACAAATTATTAACGACGAGCTAAAAGATGACCAATTTCCGGTAGCCAAAGCAAGAAAATGATTGAGCCAACACAGGCCTTCGTGGCAGAACACTTCAGAATGGAATCCTGGATCATTTTGGCGACTGACACCAGGTGCTGCTGGACCCTTGCTTTGCCTTTCTCCGTGGTCACGCCGTGGTGTAAGTCAGAGACATCTGTGCAGTCCAGCAAACTGGACACGCTCCTGCAAGGGATGCGGGCTGGCCACTGCCATTTCATGGAAGGGTCCGCCTTTGCAATTTTCCAGCCAACAATGTAAGTGCGTAGCCGCGCTTGGGGCAAGCCACCTACAACGCTTGTGTCAAGAACATCAGAAGGCATTGTCATTGTCGTAAAAATGATGATTCAACAGGACAACCAAGAAGCTTAAAAATCAAATCAACAATTAACCAAATAATTTGCAATGAACGGGAACCTTGCATTCCACTTGGTACACTTTCTCGCCATTTGCATCTTCGATGGAACGTAGGAAAGCCAAAATGAAATCAAAGAGGAGCTTGAACTTCTTGTGCCGCGCTAATGGTTTGACATTCTCCAAGGCAAATGTCAGGGGCTGAATGGTCTTAATCGTTTGCAGAACACGCAGCAGCACATCAGCACGTTTATCCTGCAAGCCATTCTGCAAACCAGGGTGGGCCTGCAGTGTAGAGGTCGATTTCCCCACTGATCTCGGAATCATCCCTTGCCATGATGTTGTTGAAAATCCGAGGCTTGCTGCCAGCATGGGGCAAGCCACCAATGCCGTCGACTGCATAAGCTCCACCAGTAGCATAATTGCTCTCCAACACTTTTCTCGCGTGGGCATCTTTCTCAGACAAGAACACCGTGCAGGGCTCGAGGCCTGCCATTTTCAAAGCAGCAGTAGCAGTGTCCAGACCTGAGCAATCTGAGCCAGTGACAATCATCGGAGCATTTCCCCTCGGATCGAACTGCCTTGCCTTCAGCTCGCCCTTTCCTGGCCTGGTGGGTCGCCCGGTGGCCTTCTGGCCAGCCTTGTACTTGGCCACTGCTCTTCTGACACCCTTTTTTGTGGTTGTGGTTTTTGCAGTCTTTGCTTTTGGGCCCTGTGCTTGAAATGCTTTGGGTTTGAAACCCAAGAGGCGTGTGGCACCGATTGAACTGCAGTCTCGGCACCAAGAGGGATGAACCTCTTTTCCTGTCGGCCCTGTGTTGTGCAAGCCCAGCGTGGACAAACTCAGCCTCAGCTTGGGCAAGTTCCAGCTCGTCCATGGCTTGGTCTCCAGACGTCAATGGTCCTGAGATCTCACTTCAAGCCAAATGCCTGCAGTGTTATCATGGAAAGTTGCGAATTAAACAAATAGTCTAGAATCAATTAACACTGCAAGGGAGCCCATGACAACACATGTCTGGCTGAGGCAACTTGTCTCAGTCGGTTTGTCTCTGTATCTGTCCATCACCGACAAACATTGATATATTCGATGGACAACCACTGATAGTCGATGGACCGATGATCTTGACAGACAGACAGGCAGACAGACAGAAAGACAGGCAGGCAGGCAGACAGACAGTGAGTGACAGACAGACAGACAGACAGACAGACAGACAGACAGACAGACAGACAGTGACAGACAGACAGACAGTGAGAGAAAGACAGTGAAAGGCAGACAGTGACAGACAGACAGTGATAAGACAGACAGTGACAGACAGACAGTGACAGACAGACCGTGACAGACAGACAGTGACAGACAGACAGTGACAGACAGACAGACAGACGGACGGACGGACAGACGGACAGACAGACAGACAGACAGACAGGCAGGCAGACAGACAGACAGTGACAGAGAGACAGAGAGACAGACAGTGACAGACAGTGACAGACAGTGACAGACAGTGACAAACAGTGACAGACAGTGACAGACAGTGACAGACAGTGACAGACAGTGACAGACAGTGACAGACAGTGATAGAGAGTGACAGACAGTGACAGATAGTGACATACAGTGACAGACAGTGACAGACAGTGACAGACAGTGACAGACAGTGACAGACAGTACAGACAGACATACATACGACAGTAACAGACAGTGACAGCCGACACAGTAAGAGACAGAAACAGACAGTCAGACAGAAACAGACAGAAACAGACATACAAAACACTGGCACACAGGCAAGCTGGCAGACGCAAACAAACACTTGACTGAAGACGCAGACAAACAACAGACAGACAAACAGACAGACTACCGACAACTGACACTCTGACAAACATTCGCAGGTAAATGCCACACTTTTTGATGATGCTGCTACGTTCCGCCGCCATCACATATCTTTGGTTCTCCTATGCATGTGTCTGTGTACCCGTGAGTGCGCTTGTGCGAAATGATGATTGCAAGCAACCCTTTCAAAGTCCAGGGACAACCGTCAGGTGCTATTTTTCATCAGCACTGCATCATCGCTGGTCTTGCGCAGGGAAGCAAAGTGGGCACCTTTGACATGCCAGCTTTCAACCAAAAACAATGAAAATTGCACCGACACGCAACAGTAGCGCACGTTGTCACTTCCTTGCCTGGTCCTCGTCCAAATTTCATCAGCCGGGTTTCTCACAATGTGTTGGCAGCCATTGCTGATATGATAAGAAACGCCGTCGCGGGCAACCCACAACCTGTCAGGAAGCGGCTGCTCCTTTGCACACCAGGACCAGCAAGACATGCAAGATCCCATGGTTCAGCTGCTGGGGGATTTCCAAAAGCAAGGGGCAAGCCACCAACAAACTTGAGACTGCAGACTGCAGAGTCGCAAAGGGCTCAATGATCAGATGGGGGCTGGCCAGCTGCCAGTAAGTGAAGTTAAACTGCTTTGTCGGCTTTGAATCACATGATTGTCAGCTGCCACTCAATGAAGTTGAACTGCTTCCACTTTGAATCGCACCATTTTTTGCATTTTGAATTATCAAGTATGAAATATTACAATTTGATTATAATTTAATCTGTAATATGCACACATCTTTCCAATATATATATATTTAAGATGCAGTTTCTGAGGTACTACAAGCATGGAAGAATGATCTGCATTTTTTCAAGACAAACCCCTATTTATTAGATACACTTTGGATAAGAAACCTGTTTTTTCTGTGTAAGGAATTGCTTGTAGGTAACTTTCGAAGCAGCAAAGAAGCAAATCGCACAAAAAACTTTAAAAACAGCCTCTCTCCACAATCCAGTGTTGTCTACATTCCCATCTTTGCAGGATAAAATCATGATAAATCTCCCTTAAGTTGGTTCTATGATGTTCTATGTTCATCCATAAATCACCCGCAGTTCTGAAAATTTCAAACCCAATTCAGCGCTGGTACCAAGTGTTGCCAAGTCCTTTGCGATCCATCAATGGAAAGTGGTTTTGAAAATAGGCTACCTGTAAACCTGCTGGTGAATCATCATGCATCATCCCCAAACAAATCGTGTCGTGGCCAGCCATGAAAGTTCATGTTTTGAGGGGTTTGGATCTCAGTACATTTCATCCAATCCGAACTTGCAAGTTCCGAAGTTGGCATTTTCCAGGTCCATAAACCTTCATTCAGCCATCATCAATCAGCTATCATCAATTCCCTATTTTCCTGATTTTAAAACCTTCGTGTTCAATACCATATGCTGTATGGAAAGGTTTATCAACATTTACCTCCCAAAATGCACCAGTTTTGTAGGTAAATAGACCAGCATGGAGCATCTGCAGATATGGCCCTTAACAGTTATAAATGGACATATAACTCCTATACCCTCGGGTCAAAAAAAATCACTATAAACCCATAAATTTATAACTGTTAGTTGGGCAATAACTGTGGGAAGGGGTCAAGGGGTTTTCTCCAAGTCTCGGAGGTCTATAAGCAAGAGCTATCGAAGATGACCCTGAACAGTCCCTGGATTGAAGCAGGTCAGGGGGCACTGGTGGCCCTGGTGGTTCCTCGGCGATCCGGAAAGGCATGGGAAAAACCATGGAAAAATGGGACTAAAACATGGGATTTGATTGTCAAGCCCTGCTTCATGTCATGCTACTTCCCTCGTTTTTTTTTGGTTTCAGGTGGTGTATCAGAGTTGTTTTTCACAGTTCAGCCCTTGATGGCTGAATGTCACAGACCATGCTGGGGTACCTCCAATTGATTTATCCCATATGCGAACCATGGTGCTGGAATATTTACCAACATTTGCCCGAACAAAATCACCCAGTTTTGTAGGTAAATATACCATGCATGGAGCATATGGGTATCCTAAAGAACAGGTACAGCAATGTGCTACCCTTGTTCATGAGATGAGAAACTTCCATCACCCTTGGATCCAGTCTGGGAATGTATGGATGGATATGGATGGTATATGTATATATTTTAACATATTTTTCTAAGCATTGGGGGTTGAGCTGAAACCTGGTAATATCATTGTAATATCCATGATTTGGGGACCCCACGGACCGTGAAAACTTGGAGTCTGAGCCATGCGGCCTAGCCATGCGTCGAGGTGTACAAGGATGGCTTCTTTGGTATTGGCACGGATCACAGGCGCGCCACGGTCAAGTCTGGATGGGGAATGATTTTTGTCGAAGTGCACAGGAAGGTAAGCCATGGGATTTTGTCATGGTGATTTTATGATCTTTTATGGTCAACTAATGGGAATTTTAATGGTGATTTAATGGCATTTAAGGAGCGAGTTACTGGGGTCCGATTCATGGGACATGGGTAAAAAAAAGTGGGGGCCTGATCAGATCATGTTTGGTCCATCTAGATATATCCCCCAGTTATAGTGGATTTACCCATTAAACATGGTGATTTTCCATACTTATGTCAGTTTACCAGGGATATACCTCTGGTAAACAAACATAGCTATTGAAAATGGTCATTTATAAACCCAAAAGTTCTTGTAGTGAACTGTTGACCATCCAAGCTCGACTACTCCCACTGTGGAACTAGCCAAGAACCTCGCCAACACTCCAGTCGATATAATAAGGCTAAGGGTTTGTTTGAAAAGAGGTTACCCCAAAATCCAGTGAAAATGGCGATTTTCGGGGGCTATGTCTAGATTTAACCTTGTAATGGTCATTTCTAGATTTCCATTTGCGCAATGGTGGCTAACTGGACCATCCATTTCTAGACCCATCATCATTTCTAGATTTAACCTACTTGTAATGCTAACTGGATCATCCATTCATCCATTTCTAGACAAACAAATCATCAATTTGGTGACAGGATCTACCGTCAAAGCTTTGCCATGCTGTCCACATCCTCCGAGTGGAAGGTGGTGGGGAAAGGCGCTTTTATCGAGGGTTTTTTGTTGGCTGCAGGAATGGGTATACCCCTGGTAAACTTACATAACTATGGAAAATCACAATTTTTAATGGGTAAATCCACTATAAATGGCCATTTTCAAAAGTTATGTTTGTTTACCAGAGGGTATATCCCTGGGAAAAAAACGTATGAACGTTGCGAGAGAACCTCATAACTATGGTGAACTATCTCCACTTAGTAGACCCTGGAACTGCACCCCAAGTATAGTTCCACGATCGAACAAGTATCCGCTTCTGGCACTAAACATCACCCAGAAATCGATAGAAACGGTGTTGTTTAAGATAAAATCCCAGTCTATCTTTTGGATAAATGTCCAAAATCAATAGTATAATAGTCATGTACAGATGAGCGTGGCAATCTGCATTTCTTTTTCTGTATATACCGTATTCATATATACACACAATATCACACAATAAAGAGCGTTTTTTTGATGATAGACTTCTTGATGAAACAAAATATTTTGGGATGAATATTCCCACTTATGTCATCAAGAAATCTTTCATAATTATTATATGATATGTATCATCTAATATGATATGAATATATATATATACATATAAATACATATATATATATATATATATCCCATATTAGCTCACCATGGTGCTGGTATATAAACACCTACCAAACTGGGTGATTTACAAGGGCAAATGTTGGTTTTTATATTCCAGCACCATGGTTCGCATATGGGTATCGTATATTCCCAATTTGATGGCCATTTCCATTGATGACATCCGCGGTGATCCTCCCATCGGCACGTAGGAAACCTGGTGGCGGGCGATGCGGTGGATGACACGTTCTATGCCGTGGGCACTGAAACTTGGAGAGGATGTAACTGGTGAATATGGGGGGATGTAACCATACAGTGATGGCCCAACTAACAGTTATAATGGGATTATAACTCCTAAAACTGAGTTTATATATATCATTATAATTCATTATAGTCCCATATATAACTGTTAAGAGCCATTAAAAACACACTGGTTAATTGATTGCTATAGGGATTATACTTCCCGGTTTCCTGGGGATTATGATAACCCATAGTAGGGAAACCTATCAACCAACTTATAATGAACTGGTATATATGTCCAGATGGATAGTCATGGTGAATGGAGAGGATATCTAGTTGGTGGTTTGGAACATCAACTTTATTTTCCATATGTTGGGAATTTCATCATCCCAACTGACGAACAGATATTTTTCAGAGGGTATGTAGGTATACCACCAAGCAGCCATAGCTTTTTTGGGATGTAACCATGATTATAGTGAATATTCTCAGTTACTAACCATGGATGGGTCCATTCTTGGAGAGGATCGGGATGTATCCTGTGGTAAACGTACAAAAAGCTACAGAAATTGAACATGTTCAATAGGTAAATATGGTAAATCAACTGTTGCTATGGGGTATGTTCAATAGCAAACTGTTAGTCATTACCAGAGGGTAACAGGTGAATCGGTAACCATAGATCCATAGTTAGTTTTGAGCCATTTTTATGTAGAATACCCAAAAAATATTGGGTAGTTAGTAACCATAGTAACCCATAGTATCCCATAGTTACTTACTTAGTAGCCATAGTAACCCACACTTGTATAATTATATATATATAGTTACACGTGTATATATATATATATATGTGGAATACTAAAACATATCGGGTAGTTAGTAAACAATAACCCATAGTTCATTATTATCCATAATATTATTATCCATAGTTAGCCATAGTTTGGTGCCTTCAGATATGTGAGGATGATCCCCATTGACTAATCTTTCAGCCTAACTACTGTAAGTGGCTGAATGAATTCTATGGTTTTTGGTGTGTATATATATATATACCCTCTGGTTATTTAACATAGCCATGGTATAGATAGCCCATTTATAGATGATTTTCCCAGCTATAAACCTCCATTTATAAGGGATTTTCCATGGCAATGTTAAATAACCAGATGGTATATATAACTATAGTATTCATGGGGGTTATTTCATGGTTTATAAACCAACTCATAGCTGGGGGGCTGGCATCCTTTTTTTGATGTTGAGGATTCATAAAGCAGCTTTAGCTTGTTAGGGGGTACCAATTTCAACGATGATTTATAACTATTTTTTGGGGGAGAACCCCAGGCAACCTCCCTTTTTTCAGTTCGTCAAGGTTTATCAATCAGTTCGACCAGCCAGCTAAGGACGGCCTGATCTATTCCCAGAAGATCAGTACCATGTCGCCTAAGACGGACTGGACACAGGTGCCACTTCTTTTGACTGGACAGGAATTGGATAGTGGCAAGGCCTGTGGGGATGTTTAATTTGATAGAATGGTATAATAAATATAACAATACGTTATGATATATATATGTTATTTTTACATGTTGGGGATATGTAATGATCAAAGATGTTGTGGATTTAACTTGATATAACCCTCAGACACCTTTAGTATCAGGGTATACTTCGTATGGTATGCTTGGCGGTTGCATTCGTATGTTCCATCCCTGAAATAATCCCTTTGCGATTCAACCTGGGATATGTTGCGATTCAACCAAGATTTTTTTTAGGAGATACCCTCTGGTAAACTAACATGACTATTGAAAATCCCCATTTTTAATAGGTAAATCAACTATAACTGGGCCATTTTCCATAGCTATGTTAAATTACCAGAGGGTAACTAACATGATTCACCATGAAATATGGCTTGTAACCTCAAAACATGGGATGTAAGATGTATATATATATATAGTGGTTGATAAACGATGTTGTGATCTGTTGCAATGAATTAATACTCTTCGGTGAAACACACATTACTGAAAATCCAGCATGTGTAGATTTCCACAGCTATAAGTTTACTGGAGGGCAATTTGTTAGCGAACTGTAGCTGTCGTAACAGTTTCTTAGCAGAAACCATGATAACTAAAGCAACTATAGCTGGAAAATTTTAACTTTGCCAGTAACCCAGGGTTCATTTTATTGAGAACTGCCATAAGTCCCAAGGGGTGGCGTAGGCCTCCTTCAAATTGGAGGAGAGGTAACCCCCTAACAACCAATGAGTTAATGAGATGGTACATCATGGGAAAGAAACACTTCTCTTACCATATGTGACTGCATGTTATAAATTTGGAACTTGCAAAGTCCTTCAACATAACCCGAAAAAAAGAAAACAACATAACCATGTTGCATTTGACGCCCAAAAAAAATCCCGGCCCTTGGTTCGCCGCGAACGCAAGCAACACATCGCAGGTGGTGGGCAAAGCGCATGAGCATCACATCGTATCCATTGCCATTCACAAGGCTAGTGACACGATGTATGCTGTGACTGGTGCCTCGGAGACCTCGGCCGACTCCGGAGCTTGGTACCCTCTGGTTATGTCAACAGTTTGCTATGGAAAATGGCCCAGTTATAGTTGATTTGTACCTATTAAAAATGGTGATTTTCCATAGTTTTATGTAAACGTTTACCAGAGGGTATCATGATCTACAAATAGGATCATGTGCTCAAAACAATGCCATAAACCACTCAAAAAAGGGAATGGTAAACATGCCATGTATTTATGGTGATTTTGGGGAATGGTTTATGGCATTGTTTCAATCACATTAGCCCATTCCATCCACTGGTCAAAAAAAAATCCCTATTCGATACATTTTCCCCATTTTGAGACACACCCATACTGATTGGTGGTTTGGATTTTTTCCATATATTGGGAATAATCATCCCAACTGACGAACTCATATTTTTCAGAGAGGTCCAAACCACCAACCGTCCCTTGATGCATATATGGTTTATGACATGTTCATCGTGGACTTATCGAAGAAGTTGGATGAGTGAAACCAAAACAACAACACGACCGAGAGGCCACCACATTACTAGAGGATTTCACATTACCAAAAAGGGAAAAAGCAGCCGCAATGCCGATGTGTCAAATAGATCCCAGTAATTATTCATTGTAACGACATCATCAGTCACAAGAACTGATTGTGAGGAATGGCAACTATCCCAAAATGGAAGGTTTCAGGGAGTTCTCACCAGGATACTGAAGCTGATCAAATATCGGCTGAGTAGAAAGTGGCAAAGTCGGCAAAGTGGCAAAGGCATAAACCTTCCATTTTGGAGGGTACTATCCATGGTGATCACCTGATTTACGAGACGGTTTGAGGTCGTCGGTGTCAGGCAGGGACAATCATCTATAAATGGGTGATTTTCATTCGCTATGTTTGATTACCGGAGAGTAAATCATCAAAGATAATGGGCCATGGCTTCCATAGCTATCACTAGCTGAATTACCAGAGGGTAGAATTCCTTTGTTAGAGCTGGTGACTTTTTGTTGGTTGTAACTATTTGCTCAAAGATGCACACTAATCTTTATATAAAGGTTTCCTTATATATATATTCCATATGGTTATTTAACATAGCCATGGAAAATCACCATGTTTAAGAACGGTAAACCATCTATTTCTATGGGCCATCTATACCATGGCTATGTTAGTCATAACCAGAGGGTATATAATTATAAATATATATATATATATACACCATAACCATAGAATCCATTCAGCCACTTACTTAGTGGTTTTATATAACCATATGGTATATATAGTGGTTTTCCCAACTCATCCATTTTAACAGTTGTTTCCATTGAAACAAACCATCCAGCATAGCTGGCTACCTCCATGACTATGCAAAACCGTTTGATCTGAGACACGAAAGCTGAACAATTTGGATGGTGAATGGAGGGGAATCTCCAAAGGGCGATATGGTAACAGCGATTTTCAGGTTAATAACGTTAGTTTAATCCAGCTAGATATTATGTGTAGATATATAAATGTATTATATATATAATGTATATTGTATTTATAAAGTACATAATATATATAATGTATATAATAATAATATGAGGAAATAATAGAATATATAATATATGATAGAATATATGATATGGTTTAATATACCATATAATATATAAAATAATTATTTAATATTATATATGATATAAAATGACATATAATATAATATAGAATATAATATTTAATATAAAACAAAATATAATATATAATATAATATGTAATATAATATGTAATATAATATGTAATATATGATATAATATAATAAAATATTATACCATATAATATAATATACTATAGTATAATATAATATAGTCATATGTGCATGTGTATGGATGTGAATTATGATATTTCAGCCAGATGAATGCTAATTTGTTGGGGGAGCTTACCCATGGTCTTCATCCTCTGAACCAGTCGACACTGAAATACGCGGCATGCCATTCCGCTGGCCAAAATGATGCCGCCTGATCGAAGCCCGATCGAACATAGCAATCATCGAGCAACAGAAGTTGTTACTCTTACTTACTCTTCAGTCTATTGTCGTACTACATAAATTACACGATCTATATATTTATATTTACATTTGTTTACTAGATTAAGTAAAAAAAGATGTAGTATATACATGTATACATTAAGCATAGCTGATTGTATACATGACATGAACACGACACCATATACATATCGATATAATATGTAATATAAATATAATATATATATAATATATATTAATATATATATATAAAGATAGATAGATAGATAGATAGACAGATAGATAGATAGATAGATAGACAGATAGATCGATCGATAGATAGATCGATAGATAGATAGATATAATTCCCCATGTTGAAGTTCTCTTTTGATTTCTCGAGCTTCCCCAGCCGTTCGGACCCCTAGGAGATGATGGAAAGCTTTGGAAAATGATCCTGAGCCCCTCGACCTCCGTTGACCGGGTCCAGTCTCGTTGTCAATGGGATCGAACGAAACGCAATGTTTTATGGGATTAGCAATGGCTGATGGGATTTCATAGTTTTTTTTTGTTTGTTCGGGATATAATACCCATATGCTCCATGGTGCTGGAATATTTACCTACATTTACCCCAAAAAATTGCCCAGTTTTGTAGGTAAATATACCATACATGGAGCATATGGGATATGATATAATGGGTTTTAGCCTCTGTGAATCAGCTTCATGGCAATCGAAAAACCTATATAAATGGTGGTTTCAATAGAAATTCATTGAACTAACAAGTAGATGTTCAATGGCCATGGAGATGATGACCAGAGGGTGTATCATAATTATCATGTACAAAATGTCATTGAGTTATCAGTATAAGTATGAGTCCCATGCCCTTCTTCACATATCTTGCCATATAACTGGTGGCTCATTCCACGGGTCGTGGTTGTGGGCTATTTCACCCCCAGGTATAGGTGGATTAACCCGACTTATCCCTTGCAAAAACCCTGGGGTGAACTAACCCATTTACGACCAAGTGGGATGAGCCACCAAGTAGGGTTTATGGGGTACATATCTATAGTGACTAATAGTGTTCTATATTTCGATGGGGTTATAAACCAACAAAAAATAACCCATATGCTCCATGTATGGAATATTTACCTGCATTTACCCCAAAAATTGCCCAAATGTAGGTAAATATTCCAGCACCATGGAGCATATGGGTAACATGACTGGGGGCCCCACTATGTAGTAACATGACTCGACATCATTCGACATCCCAATCTTGGACCATTAACCCACGACGCGAGGTGATTTGGGCAGTGCTGAGTGGGCCAATGTGCCGCAGAATGGCGCCTGTTTCTACATCTCCATCCGAGGTGGGACGGGATCTAAGATGGCACCCCAACAAAACATAGAAACAGATAAAATCCCACTACTGGTTGGTGGTTTGGAACATGGATTTGATTTTCCCCAATAGTTGGGATGATGATCCAACCTGACTAATATTTTTCAGGGAGGTTGAAACCACCAATTAGATATGTGTGGAGGGTACTAGATTTGTGCTAGGAGGATTTCGCCAAAATGCTGGCTTTCAGCCAGTTTTTGTATGGATGCTGGGTTGCTGGCTTCAACCCTAACGGGAGGATGAAACCACCAACTCAGCTAAGTGTGGGTTTAGGTTGTGGAAAACATCACAAACTATTGATGAATATGGGTTTAAAATGTTTTAAAAGGTTTGATTTACCTCAGTATTCATCACTTCCACACGTTGGGTTGCTAACCCGTCAGTACAACTCAACCCATGAATCTAAGTGGTGATATCCAATTTATACCTGGGCTGTAATTTGCTTATAGCATCTTATAGCCCAGTCCTCAGTAGTGTCGAAAACAACAAAAAACACTACTCTGATTGGTGTTTCATTAGGCTATCTACAGTTTATGGCGGAGAAGGAGAGAGAGAGAGAGAGATATAGATAGATAGATTGATTGATTGATTGATAGATAGATTAGATTAGATTAGATTAATTAGATTAGATTAGACTGGATTAGATTAGATTGATAGATAGATAGACAGACAGACAGCCAGGTAGGTAGGTAGGTAGGCAGATGGATAGATAAATAGACAGATAGTAGGCTGAAGTTGGATGGGTGAAACTACACCAACATCTAACTGGTGGCACCACATTGCTGGGGTTGGTATTTGTGTACCTAGCAATAAATGTTAGGGGAAATCAGACCCACGACTGGTTTTATAGACTGGATAGATTCTTCGGTAACTTTAGTAATTACTTTACTATTTCACTATAGGTTTGAAAACCTTAAGCTAATTACTCTCACTAGCCATGGACAATTACCCATGTCTAGATGATTTACGTATTAAACATTGTGATTTCCAGTTCGCCGTTAAATTACCGGTTGTAACGGGTAGGGATTCCCTTTCCATTCGCTGCCATGGGTAACGACGATGGGCCATAACATGCTGATTTTCGGGATGCCGTGCTAGTGGATGTAACAGAAAATTCCACATCCATATTGTTTCAATCGATATTAACAATTGAATATGGGTGATATCCTATATCCTATCCAGTGAAAATAGGATATCACCCATATTCAATTGTGAAAAACATACTTTTTGTCCAATGACATGGCACATTTTTTTTTTCCCGTGTGCCCCATATCAACCCGAATTGGAATGGGACCCCAGGTGGCGACAAAAATTGGGGTGGAAGACGATTCAGGTACTGGAAAAGTACCTGTTTTAGGGCCACATCAGTACGGAGAATATTTTCACTGGACATGTTGTTTGTGTCCATAGCACTTTTACATTGTGACATGTCTTCAACATGTAGCTTCTGTTTGGGTATCCCTCTTGGCGGTTTTGCAGGTGATTATATCTACTGCCGTGGCACGCACAAGCAAATCTGGCGTGTCTGAGAAGCAGATAGCTTGTAGTTGAACCAGAATGGACAGGTCAAACTTGATTTAGATGACAACCATTGAATTGCTTATTAATATGTTGGTAAACATATCCACATGTGGCAAAACCTTACTATCCATGGTGTATTATAATTTAATATATATATAACATGTGCCATCAACGAAAAACACTTGGCCCATTGCTGATTTTATTGACTGCTGAAGGGGTGGTTAATCGGTTGCTGGTATGCTAGTTTTATTCGACTTGTGGGTGCAGTTGACGATTAGTATTACCATGTTTTTTCCCGTCCCCATCCATGTTTGTTGGGATATGGGGCCCCTAGAACTCTGGTGAAATATATGCACTTGGTTCACTGGAACTGCACTTCCAAGTAGCTAGTAGTATAGCTGTCTGGTGGTTTCAAACTTTTTTATGTTCCATTTCATATATGGGATGTCATCCTTCCCATTGACGAACTCCATGATTTTTCAGAGGGGTAGGGCTCAACCACCAACCAGTACAGCCATGATGTCGTGAATCAATGCTGCAACAAGACGTTCAGAGCGGAATCACCGGTGGAATCAAATTTTGACCAAGAAACTGGTACAGACGAGCCGTGGCTCATCCCACTTGGTCGTGGAGTCGTGGTTGTGGGTTAGTTCACCCCAGTGATTTACATGGGAATTTGTCGGGTTAATCTCAAAAAACCGGGGTGAACTAAGCCACAACCACGAGCCGTGGGATGAGCCACCAAGTAGTAACCCCCATGTTTGATTTTGAAATCCCAACCATATCCACATCAAAATACTCTCATTATATTCCCATCATTCCACTATAATTGGTTTATATCCTACTTGGTGGCTCATCCCACGGCTCGTAAGTGGCTTAGTTCACCCCAGGTACACCTGGATTTAACCCGACTCCCATGTACATCACTGGGGTTATAAGTTATGAGTTATAACCCATTTACGATGAGCCGTGGGATGAGCCAACCGAGTATATGTACTGTACCAGTTTTCTTAACTATGGTTCATGGTAGATATAATGAACTAGATAAGTATATATTATATATAGTATATATGGGCTTTATATGGGCTTTATAATCCAACATTCACATCAATGTTGTGGGGTTTTTGGTAACCAACATTCACATCACGTTTTCGGGACCACAGTGATGGCCCAACTAACAGTTATAAATGAGATTATAACTCGTAAAACTGAGGTTATGTATCATGACATAATCCCATATATAACCCAAATGCTCCATGTATGGAATATTTACCAACATTTACCCTAAAATCAACCAAATGTAGGTAAATATACCATACATGGAGCATATGGGTAAGTGTTAAGAGCCATCACTGCACCATCCACAAATTGCTGACGTCGAGGTCAAAAGTTGACCGCCTTAACTGCTACCTCATCCTGGTCCCGCATTTCCAGCGCGGGTGCTGAGTCGGTCTTGGTGCCAAAGGTGCGGCGCGCTTGGGGAAAGGTCGGGGGGGTTGAAAGCTTGGGAAAAGATGTGAGTTGAATGAGGAAGTATATGGTACATTATGCTTCTAAGTATGTAAAAATGTGAGTTGTGAGAGGAAGTATAGTATACTAAAAGATCAGCTGTAAGTACTCAGCTACTATCAGCTGTTACTATAAGTATATGGTACATTATTATGGTACAGTATGGTACTAAGTATGTTTAAGAGTCGCTTGTTTGAGTCGTTTCTCTTATGATGTCTCCAGGGGAGTTTCTCTTGGCATCAGGATTCGGACAGCCGGAATGGATCGTTAAATGGGTGATGGCTTCGCTCGACGATTTCTGGTTGGTGGTTTGGAACATGGGAAACATACAAAAAACGATGGAAAATCACCATTTTATAGCTGGGTAAATCAACTATTTCCGACTGGGCCATTTTAATGGGAGAATAGCTGGTTGGTGGTGACTGGAACCATGGAATGGATTATGACTTTTCCATTCAGAAAAGGGAACTTCTCATCATCCCAACTGACGAACTCCATGATTTTTCAGACGGGTGGGGCTCAACCACTAACCAGATTTGGGGATTTCACAATCAATGAGGATAAAGAGAAAGAATCACTTCCTATGTCATGTAGATCACCTGGGAAAACGAGAAACATGTTCCCATGAATTCCTGGGCAAACGTGTAAATATGTGTATGCAAGTAACAAGGTATGTTCTGTGATGAGAGTGTTGTAACCTCGTTCTGTGCGAAAGCTATGAAGCCCCCACCAGTTATACAGTAGGATCGTTCGTGTGCAGATGAAGATGTGCCGCGGAACACTGTTGGAGAAGAAAGGAGATGACATTGAGACTTGGCTCAATTGGCCCAGATGCTCCATATATGGAATTTTACCTACATTTGGGCAATTTTTGGGGTAAATGTAGGTAAATATTCCATACATGGAGCATATGGGTGGGGGGGAATGTGTCGGCGAAATGTGGGGCCAAAAAAAATTCACCAGCATATGGGATGATCCTCCAGCCCAGGTGAGAGTTTTCGGTGAGTGGAAATATGTGTTTCGGTTGCGAAAGGAACACCAGCTACCGGTTTCCCAGCTGGAACATGTTGGACTGGTAAATATCTAGTGGTAGCTGATGGTAGCTGGAAGTGATTGAGGTGCCTACTTCTTGCTGGTGAAATAGATACTTGTGCCACTTGTGTCCACCTCTATCCATTTGTACCCGAGCCTAATTATTCTCATCTTTACTATCCAGTGATTTTCAGGAAGTGGTTCGGAATTGGGGATATCTAAATTCCCCCAAAACATGGGGAGTTCGGGAGCTACGAATTGAGTTTCCCAATCATGGTTTGTTGATTATATTTCTATATCCCACTATTAAAAAAAACAATAAATCACATTTCTCGTGCTTGACTAAGTTTTCTTCGCAATGGCTTTGAATCACAAGAGTGGCATCACACGTCCCCATGGTGTCGCATTGTATTTTATATGTGAGGCTTGTGACAGCATCAAGGATGACACCTGCGGCAACTTCTACGAGTTTCTTGGTGGTAGTAGCGCTGCGAAACTGAGATGTCGCCTTGTCAGGTTTCTGTGGTACTTGATAAGGTGGTGCCCCCCAGTTATAAGTTGGTTTATAAACCATAGTAAGTATATATAGTTATATCTACCATATGCCATAGTTATTGGAGTTATAAACCAACTTAGCTAACGAACTGGGGCACCACCTTGTATGGTAATCAAACGTGGCAGTGGAACATATATCTCCCGTTGAGTTCGTTGATTTTGATTGGGATTTCCAATCCCAGTCCACCGGTGTAGATCTAAAATGCACATCCCCGCGCCCATGGAGGTTCTGATATAACTACATATACCCTCTGGTTATTTAACATAGCCATGGTATAGATGGCCCATTTATATCCATTCATGGATGATCTTCCCAGCTACAAACCTCCTTGTTTAAGTGATTTTCCATGGCTATGTTAAATAACCAGATGGTAACTGATTAGTAAATGGATGTAAACGCAAGCAAATGGATGTAAAGTGTAAGTGTGTTAATACTCATATATCATATATATATATATATATATATATAAAACCCATGTGTCTGGAAAAAAAAAACAGTATTACCCCAAAAACAAGTATATAAATGGGTTAGTTATACTCCATGAGTCATATAATTCATGAGTCAGGGAACAACTCAAAAAATGCTGACTCTTGTCCCCCCAAACAAACTATCACCGGATTTACCTCTTTTGGCTCAGTCCGGCTTGTCGACATATATATATATAATAATAATTAATAATAATAGTAATAATATTATATATATATATGTATAATATTATATTATATATATTATAATATTATATATATTTTAATATTATATATATAATATTATAATATTATATATATATTATAATATTATATATATATTATAATATTATATATATATATACATAATTTATATATATAGATAATATATATATATAGATAATATATATATATATATATACATAATATATATACACATAATATATATATATACATATATATATATATACATAATATATATATACATAATATATATATATATATATATATGGGCAACCTAATATCAACGTGACTCCCATTATTTGGGAATGATACCTATCATCACGGCCTTTTTTATAGATTTCCACCATCAAGCCATGGATTTTCATGGGGATGGCCGAGGAAGGCGGGCCACACGGATGTCTACTTCCAATGCCAACGCAGTCGCGCCTCACCGGCCTCTGAAGTGATGAGCTGCCTGGCACAGCAACACTGCCTGCTGGACCCATAGGATGCTGGAAAGGGTGAGTTGGTGATGTTTGTTAAGATGTCTAGTGATGATGTTCTATATTATTTTCTCTGTTTCTTTTTAAGATGGTGAGGTTTTGAGAGTTCGTAAATGTTCTTAAGTTGTTTGAAGATTGATTAATTTTCATGAAAAGTAGGTATAGGGCTCAATTGACTAGATGCAACATATAAACAAAATTATGGATGTTAGTGATTTGTTTTTGCCCAATATAATATAGTCAGTCTGCCAATATCTTTTATATATATATATATCATGACATAATCCCATCAAAATAACTGTTAGTTGGGCCATCACTGTACTTGTTCACATATTGGCTGCACCGTTGCGCCGGGCAAGCGCGATGACGAAACACGCACGACAGCGGCGCTCGAAAAATCAGAGCTTCTCGGGGAGAGATGACCTTTTGTATAATGACCAAGCATTGATTGAATACCTTACAAGATATATAATATAGTAAAATGACCTATATAAGATACCATGTATAAGAGATATATTATAATAAGATAACATAGAATGTATATACATATAATGATATAAGATAACATATTATATGAAATTATTTGTGTATTGAATAGCTTATTCATACCTTGTTAAATTAGAAGTTATATTATGCACATTCATGAAACAATATAAGTGGTTGATATTGTAGATTATATGATATTGATATGTGTATGTGTTGATTTGGCTAGTGTATGTTTGTTTGCACATTTATGTGTATATATATATTATATATATACATATACATATGTATATATGTATTTTTATATATACATATGTATATATATATACATTTATATATACACATTTGTTGTCCTGGTGTTTTCGGTGCAGTAGAATATTGCAAAGATACAACTGACAGAGAGTCAACGGTTTCCTTATTGCAACCATCAACCATGTTCCACTCCGAAACCATGTTTTTTTCTGCGGGAAGCACAATTTTGTGACAATATTACACTAGCATTCGATTAACAAGATCCCACAAAATTGGGTAAAACACCTGTGGTGGAAGTGGTCACTGTGGCTGGGAAAATCCTGGTGTATTGATGATTGTCTGACAGCAATCCTTCTCTTGCGGAGAAGGGGATACTTGGGGGGGTGCAGTTCCAGTCAACCTTGGCAACTTGATGGAGATCTAACCATAATAATCATGATAGGGGTAACAAATCCCAACTTATAGAGGTATTACCATACTTATAGCTATACACACCACACACAACACGTCATAAAGCTGGTGGTGTCAACAGTGTCAACCAATGATTTTCCATGACTCTACAATGTGGGGGCCCCCAATTATAAGTTGGTTTATAAACACCATTCACTATAGTCATTTGCATATCCACATTGTAATGCCTCAAGCAAGTGTCATGTGAGTTCTTTCCAAGATCGAGGTGATGATGGGACATATCTCCAAAATAGTTGGGCCTGGGTTTATACCCCAAAATATCCCATGATATCTCCATTTTTCATGGTGACATCCACATGTTTTTGGGGTCCTTTCAAAGCACATTCACTTCTTTAGCGAGCAGCGATGCTTGCGGGGTTTCTACCGGAGGCCCTCCAAAAGCGGCAGCCGTTGGGGGCCTCAGAGACGAGTGGAATGAGAGTGGAAGAATTTTAATGGTGATCTACGTGACAAACCCCCAGCGATTTACATGGGATAAGTACCCATATGCTCCATGTTTGGAATATTTACCTACATTTACCCCAAAAATTACCCAAATGTAGGTAAATTTACCATACATGGAGCATATGGGGTAGGGTTAATCCACTTATAACTGGGGTATATGTTTCTGCGCCATGCAGCGGCCAGGCCACCCGTTTCATGCCCACAACTCTGCGAACGAAGAAACCCTCACAGGCCGAAGAGTTGGATGGGGTTTGGCCGCCGGCCAGTGGAAATGGAGGTCACTCCTACAATGGGGGCACTCCAAAATGGGGGAACATGGGAAAATCATAGGAAAATAATGGACAAAAACATGTGAACAATTCTACAAATGGAGTTTTTCTTTATTATCCCATATGCTCCATGTATGGTATATTTACCTACAAAACTGGGCAATTTTTGGGGTAAATGTAGGTAAATATTCCAGCACCATGGAGCATATGGGTAAGGGAAATTCTCATTAAAATTCATGCTTTAATGGGGTACCCCCATTTATGGAACCCCCCAAATGGAACATCACCAATGTATAGATGAATCTAGATGAATGAGAACTGGGATGATGGTTGGGTTAACAGGCGCCCCAACTGATCTTATTTCAGGATTGTGAATTATTGTAATTTACCTAGCCCAGATGCTCCATGTATGGAATATTTACCTACATGTAGCCCAAAAATTGCCCAAATGTAGGTAAATATACCATACATGGAGCATATGGGTAGGTGAATGCCACATCTTGGAACTAAAAACGTTGCCGGATGTGTCAAGCGCGCCTCTTTTTCAAGTGATCCGAGAGCGCTGATTATCCCATGGTACTTTGTACTGGCTTTGTCTGAAAAATAAGGATCAATAAGGTGCTTATGATCAAATCTTATGATAAATGGGGTAAATTTTAAATGGTATAAATAAGGAGATTATACCCTAGAATCCCGTTGATGATCATCTTTTCCCTCTTAAAATTGTGTTTTGGGGGATACACACCATATTCGGACACACCCGCGCTGCTTATATTTCATTACTCTTCCATCTAAAGATCCACTTCCATCCAGTTTGTAAACTCTTCAATTACTACAGACATCATTAGTTCCATGATTTACCTCTCATAAATCGTGATTTTTGAGTTCGCAAACCATTAAATAATGAGAGGGTACACTCTATTCCACTTCCAGCTATTATTCCATTAATATTCCATTCCTATCCCATCAAAATTCCATGAAATATCCGATCGAATCACCGTTAAAGTTCATTAAATCACTCTTAAATCTCAGAAATCAGCATTAAATCTCACTCACCATCTGGTTGGTGGTTTCAAACATGACTTTTATTTTCCATTTCATATATGGGATGTCACCCTTCCCATTGACGAAGTCATATTTTTCAAGATGGTTATTGCACCACCAACCAGCCCATTATTAACCATGGAAACCACCATTAAAATCCCATACGTTTCCCATGAAGTTCCCTTGAAATCACCAAGAAATCGCCACGAATTCCCGCAGGTGGCCGGCGGAGTGCTGCAAGCATCCAGCGCGTCCTTAAGCCAGGACGGCAACGAGGGCAGAGGGCACGATCACTGGATATCACTGGATGATATAAAGTGGATACTAATGGATGCTAATGGATAATAATGGATAATAATAATGTAAATAATGGGCAGACATATATTAATAGATACTAATGGATACTCATCAATTATATTCATGGATATTGATGGATATTAATGGATATTAATGCCAGTGAATCACTAGTTGGATAATAATGATGATGATATAATGAGGAAAATATCACTAGTAATTAGTACTATTTATAAACTAAATGGATATTTATGGATAATAATTTGGTATCCAGTTTAAAATAGACATTAGTAGATCCATTAATATCATAATTCATGGATAAACATATATATCTTAAAATTGATATTTTATTAGTAGATCACTGGATATGTTATTAATTGATAATAATTGATGGGCATTAATTTAATGATGGATACTAATGGATAATAATGTAAATAATGGACCCTAGTGGATACCAACGATAATAAACTGGGATATAGTGATGGATACTAATGGAGAATAATGTAAATCATTTCAAATTAAATTGGACATGTATTTTTAATCATGGACACTAATGATGATAATTCATGTGTAGAAACGATAGTAGTAACAATAGTGAATAATGGATAATCATTGATAATAATTGAAAATAAGAATTATAAACTGTGTGATACTACCTTATAATAATTGATAATCATGGATTCATGGATAATAATTGACAATAATGGTGATAACCTGATATAAATTGGATACCCTCTGGTTATTATCAATATCAATAGATAAAGGAAGGGATTAAACGAAAACGGATACTTGGACATATTTAGAAAGGATAATCATGGACAACCATATATCAATATTATTCTTATTCAATGTTATTGGTTATTATCAATGGGAAAAACCAATGGTTTGGGGTAGCCTAATATTTCAGGAAACCTCCATATATAAACTGTGTAATAATTTACGTGTAGAAAGGATAGTAATAACAATCATGAATAATGGATAATTGATAGTAATGGTGATAATTTGGTATAAATTGGATACCCATTAATGGATAGACGCTTAAGCCATAGAAATTGCTGCTATACTTGGTGGTTTATCCCACGGCTTGTGGTTGTGGGTTACTTCACCCCAGTAAAAAAAGAGGACTAACCCTACCCCATTAAAATAGCCCCCAAAACATATTATGAAATTTCAGAAGTTTTCGTGTTTAACAAACCATATTAGGGAAGTATGGGAAGATCTGATTTTCACTGGGATTGAATGGCCATTGGTCATCAAATTTTAGTGGGAAACTGATGCGGGCCGAAATGATGAGAAGGGTGAACCCTACAGAAACCATCGTTGATATGATGATTTTAGGAATATTTAACTGAATATGTCGAGTGATATGTAAATACTGTTATTATTGGGAATATGTGTTGGTATATATGTTGGTATATATCAACCATATTTCATGCTAATAGTGTCATTATAGTGTTTTACAAACCATGGAAACCATGTCCAAGGAAAATACCCAATTTATAGATGTTTTTCCCCAACTAAACCTTCGTTTTCTTGGGGGATTTTCCTTTGCCACCTTTGATGGCCGAGGTTCAGAGCTAAGGGTATCCAGATTCTAGGTCAGATTCCCTATTTTCATGCAAAAAGGGGAGCCATTCAGAGCTACGAGTTGAGTTTCTGAACCACATGATATGCTGATATAGATAACATCATGAACATGTTTTTTCCCCACCTGCCAGGTGAGGGTTGTTAGATTTTATCAGAGCTGT